AAGGTCTCTACTCCCAATTGTAGGTAGAGAGCTGAGAGTTCCTGAAGTAAATTATTTCTAGAGATATTCAAAACATATGCAATGGATAAAATATATTTATATGATTCAAGGAGCAATGCATATGACACATTCAAATTTTGGAAAACAAAGTAAAATGCCATTGGTTTGTTGTTCCTAATGTCTCATGGTACAATGTTGGTGGAAGAGAATGATTTCGGGAATTTCTATATCCATATCAACCTCAATTTAAATGACCTAAGAGGGTCTTTTCTTTTTTTTTTTTTTTCAAATTCTGGTAAGACTTGTTTTCCAGTAGAAGAGTCTGTTCACCCCCAAGAAAACTTAGCACTGTAATGTCCCCTTGGTACCAAGGTCTTTGTTAGTCAGGATTTTCTGAAAGGACAGAATAAACATACATGGAATGGGGATTGTGTTATAAGAATTGGCTGCTCTGATAATGAATGCCAAGAGATCCATTGATTTGCATCTTGTATAACAGAAGAATTGGAAAGCCAGCAGCATCATATAATGCAAAACTGAGTCTCTGGCAACAAGAAAATCTAGCTATCCAGTAGCAGAAGACAATGTCCCTGTTAAAGTAGAGAGAGTGGCCCAGCAAAGTGACCTCACTCTGCAGGTGCTGGGATCCCTTATGGGAGTAGGTTCTAACATAGGCAGCCCTCTTCCCATCCAGTTCCCTGCTTGTGGCCTGGTAAAATAGTCAAGGACAGCCCAAAGCCTTAGGACTGCACTCCGGAATAGGAAACCCGGAAGAGGCTCCTGGGTCCTGGCTTTGGTTAAGTGCACCCCTGGGCAATGCAGCCACTGGGGGAGTGAATCAATGAACGAAGGTCTGCTTTCCTGTATGTCCTTCTCTCTGTATATCTGAGTTTCCAATAAAAAATCAAACTCAATCTTTAAAAAAGAAGAGTGAAATTATTCATTCAACCTTCATTTTCTAGATTCAGAAAGAGCCCTAATTACAATGGTGAACTTAATTCACTGTACTATTACAAATGACAATCTCTTCCAGAAATGGTTTTATATATACAAATATGTTTCACCGGTTACTTAAATATCAGTTAACCCAAACAAGTTGAAATAAAGATACACAAAACAATGTGTGTGTGTGTGTGTGTGTGTGAGTATTACTTTTCACTAATCTTCTATACAGCCCAACATCGTATCACCATAGTCATTCCATCCTTAGAGTTCAGCATTGTGGCATAGTGCACACCTGCACAGTTAACCATCCATATGTACTCTAAGCGGTTCCGCTTTCCATCTAACTCTCTAATAACGTGCCTGGTAAAACAGCTGAAGATGCTTCAGAACTTGCTTTCCTGTCACCGAATGTGGGTATCTGGCTTTAAGCTACACCTGGCATTGGGTGCATTTGGGGACTGAATCATAACATGCGTACTGGCATATATGCATGTTTAGATATACAAGCATAATATATTTGATATAGCAGTTGCAACTTTAAAATTCAAGTTTAGCTATTTCTTATGTTTAAGTTTACTAATTTTCAATAGGAAAATAAATGGAAAAATAGAATATTGTGATATTTTATTTAGGTTAAGCCAAATGGCTATTTACAGGAAGAAAAATTCATTTTTCATTGCTGTGATCTGAATGTTTGACCACAAAATACCCACGGAATTTGTATGTGGAAACCTAATCATAATATAATGATTTTAAAAAGCAATAAGTTTGGAGAAGGAATAGGTCGTGAAAGTGGAAACCACTGCTCAGACAGGACACCAATGACACAAAAGTTCTTCCTTAAAATTTTTGAGAACAAAATAAGAAACTACCTTTTACAAACTGACAGAAATTCTTAATTGCACGTTGCTTGAACTGTGATAAATAACATTTCTGCTGCTTATCAGCTACCTCATTTGCCGTATTTGTTAAAAGTGTCTGACAGACAAACACATTCATCTTGTTTAATTAGAAAGTTAGCTGATGACAATTCAGATGCCTGGTAAAAAGAATCTTGTAAATCACACAGCAAATCTCCCAAAAGCATTAAGGAAAGAATTGGCAACAATTTGTAGGGAAATCTCTTACTAAATACTGTGGAGGCAAGTTCAGCATACTAATTGTTTTCTGTTTTAGTGTTTAGACACACCAAAATTTTATGAGCAAACACATCTAAATTAGAAAGCTTATTCCTTCAAACTAATTGCCTAATAATACTTAACTAAGACATCTTAAAGTACATTGTTTGTTCATGTATAAAATTATTTATATAATAATAATATGTAAGCACATTCCTCAAATAGTATATTAGTTAACTCATTTGTTATTCATATCTTCACTCATGAATTCATTCCTTTTAAATTATAATTTGAATTAATTCTCAACATTTGTTGTTACCATAACATTCATGATATTTGTATTAAAGATGAATTGTCTAATACTGATCTTGGCTTATTGACTAAAAATTTAGAATTACGTTAATACAGAAATTTAATCATTGAAAGATTCATTTAGTTGTTTCTAAGTCAGTTATGGAGACAAAGGGATGTTATGGGGTTTATCGCATAAAAGACCACCAAAGCCAATTTTGGAATTTGGGGAGTCTTTATTAGCCAGATGGCAAAATGCCCACTCAGAACAAGTCTGAATGAGACAACCCGGAGCTTCCATTGCAATGAGCTTTTAAAGGGAAAATGAAACAAAACAAAGCAAACAAACAAACAAAAACACAGCTTGGAGTCCTACACTGGATAGCAAGCAAAAAAGGGCACAGAAGCTACAACAAGCAGGCTAGAGACAAGATGAGCAATTCTATAGTTATAGCCACCGCTAAAATTCTCGGAAACTGGTTGCATTTCTCATGGGGCTCAGGTCCCTGGATTGGTTCCTCTTTATGGGAGGAGGGTCATTCTAACCAGAATGGTGACCTTGGATGCACTCTACAATTTTTCACCCTGTCACAATAAGAGAACAAGAAACATTTTGTTCATCCACTGATTCAGTGTCCAAGTTCTACAAAGAGCGAAGTTGAGCCAAATTGAAGTGGAGTACCAGCACCGTAACCTGGCTCCCAGGGGAAGCGGTGACCACTACCTTGCGTGGTCCTCCATTGTCTCTAAAGTCCATTACCTGGGGAAAAATCCAAAAGTGATGTACACGATGCAGGCATTTCACATGCTAGATTCACAGGTGGCAGCTTTAGCAGTTACACCACAATACTGGCCTCCAATGTTTATGTCTGCACAAAGTATTTGAACTATGTAATTTCTACTAATGCAAAGTAGGGAGCCTTCCTTTTTCAAGGCGGTTGAGAAAGATAAATGGGGGGAGGGGCGGAAAAGAAGGGAGAGAAAGAGAGAGAGAAACATTGAGTCTCAGATGTTGTTCAAGAACAATTTGCTTTAAAACACACAGTGTCATTACTATTCATAAACCGATGGCAGTACCTGGTAACCAGAGTAAAACCCTCAGGTGTAACTTATTTGACCTGAGATATTCTTTCGTTTTCCCCAATCTCTCGCTAAAATTTCTAAGATTCATTGAACTATTTGCTGCCTCTCAAAATAACACACATGAAGCTAATCCTGCTAAATTTATTTGTTCTGGTTTCCAATTGTATGTATGAAAAAAGTTTATCATGTACATATACATGAGTGAATAGTATTATTGTTTACAGAAAGCAATGGAGAATGATAAAAGATACCTATTATACCCTATTATATTTCCAATACCAATGAAAGAAGCAACTTTATTTTCTTTAATTTAGGTTCTGGTTCTGGTTTTGCTTGGGTCTGTCCTTGATTCAGACATTGAGATCTCTGGCTATGGAATCTGTTGATGTAACATTACAACCATCTGAATATTATTGCTTTTGTTAAATGCACTTGCCCGTATTGAAAGGATAAGGGCATTTTGTTGAGCGAAGCATACTCCTCCTTGAATTGCCAGCCGAAGTTGAGGGCTATTTGCTGGTCTGGTTGTTTTCTATCAGGCTTTCAGTTCCACTGTGAGAGTTCCAGAGTGCCTGCAGTGGAATTAAGCCCATTGTTACACTGTCTTTGAAGTAATTTGAAGTGTTTTCTCTAATGCATTTTAACTGCTTTCACATGGTCCTTAAAATTCATAATTGTTTTTTCTGTCTGTATCTAATAATTCTAGTTGCTATTGTAGCATATTTTATGCTATACTATATAATGTTATCTTGTTTGATTTTACACAAGATGTCAGGCAGCTATTTATCCACTAGAGACTCAATTTTACAACTCACAAGAATCTGTAAAAAGCTCCACTGCTGTAATCCAACAAGATGTCTGTTTTTATATATTGGAGTACACAGAGTTAGAAAGGTTAAGAGACCCTCCTTCTCCGTGTGACTTTTCTAGCAGCACTTATTTATGAGCAGGGTATGGCGCAATACACCAAAGAGTCAGTAGTCAGATTTCTCATGCAGAATTTAGGGTTCTAAGTTCTGAAGAAAACATTGTGTTGAAATGTGTGTGTGTGTGTGTGTGTGTGTGTGTGTGTACAACAGCCCCTTTCTGCGTTAAAACAAACAAACAAACAAAGATTCTTACTTCTAGTGTTGAATAATCCACTTCACCACAAGCACTGTTTTGGTCAATTTGATATTTTATTTATCCATATAACTGGAAAAGAAATAAATCTAGGTTTAAAACTACAGAATAGATAGAGTACTTAAATAAGATATAATTTGACCCATATGAGGATTCATACAACCTAACGATATACAGAGAAGAGGAGAGACAGAGAGGAAGATCTTCCCTTTATTAATTCACTCCCCATGTGACTGCAGGGGCCAGAGCTGAGCTGATCCAAAACCAGGAGCTTCTATCAGGTTCTCAATGCAGGTCTACAGTCCCAAGATGTCAGGCTGTCCTTTACTGATTTCCCAGGCCACAAGCAGGGATATGGATGGGAAGAGGGGCTACCAGGATTGGAACCAGTTCCCATATGGGATCCTGTGGCGTTCAAGGTGAGGACTTTGGCCACTAGGCTATCATGCCAGGCCCTGTGTGCTTCTTTTAAAATAAGAAATTGATCAGGGTGACTCTTTAGTCAATAATACACCCTGTAATTATGATGGCTGAAAATTGTTTGTTCTCAGAAATTTCATTGTGGAGTTGTTGCTACACATGTATTGTTTCAGGATTTTTCATACCCATGGCATATATATGCATTTCTTGAGAGAGAAAGACACATTTCATCACATCAGTGGAATGCCTGTAACAGTCAACTGGAAAATCAGTTGAGAGAACTCACTTGAGTTAGGTGACAGCTGACCAACCACTGGAGTCACCATCATTTCCCAATGCCTGAATAATAAGAAGACATTTCACTAGAGAAAGGAAAGAAATGTAGCCAAATTCCTGCTGCTATTGTCAACCATCCTTGTCCCTGCAGGGCTGGTCGCAACTACAGAATTTCATTTAGTTTGAATAAGGTAGGAAGAAAACGATACTGTTCCCAACATCAACATCCTAATGACAATTCCATAGCCTTCAGTCACTTCAGCTCCAGCTTAGGAAACTAGCAGCAGTCTGCATGTCTGCTTTACCTCAAAATGAGAAGGAACCTATTGAACCCTCCACCAATAAAATGCTAGGATTGCTTTGCCCTGGTAGAGTCACTACTAAATTCTGTCCAGACTAAGGGGGGAGGGGAAGGCAGTCCCTTTCCTGCAACAAGCCATGAGAACTGGAGACAGAGAAATTTCCAAAGCAGAGATTGTACATCTGAGCTGATTCACTCCCTTGTGACCTCTGGTTTTTCCTTGCTAACTTGGGACTAGTACTAGCATTAACCTTTGTTCAAGCCAAGATGTGACCTGAGAAATCTCTTCTCTACTTCATAGATCTGTGTGCCATGGCCCAAACCCATTACTGACTATGGTTGTATCTTAGAAACTAGAGGAATTGCTTGTCTGAGTCTTACAAATCTTCCAATGCACATGATGATGTTAAAATTTTGGAGTAACACACACTTGCTTGAAGCATCTATAAGAGTCTTCCTGAATTGCTCTGATTCAGAGGTGGTTAACTCAATCCCCAGTATGATTGTCTTTCATCCAAAAGAATTCAGTAATGATCATCTCTCAGTCCCAATTCTGCTATAGTTAAAACTGTACCCTAAATATTAGCTCCTGGAGAAGTGGTTTCCTGTATGCCATTTTTAAGGAGTCCTATAATTGTCATTGAAAATTTTCCTGCTTATGCATTAATCACCTTAAGTAGTAGGGTAAGGTTTCCTTCAAATTGCTCAGTTTTCAGCCAAAGAATTTCTGCGATGCTAAGCATATCACCAGTCATACACGTAAAGAACATGGGATTGCAGCATCCACATGACACAAGATCATGGGAGAACACCATCCACACTGCACAGCTCACCTCTCACATGAATCTCTATAGCACAGAAGAGAATGGAGTGACACATTCCAGATTCTCAACAAAACAAAACAAGTCAGTCTGTGATAACATACCCAGCAAAACTTTCCTTTGTCTTTGGAAAGGGAATAATATTCTTCCACAGTTAAAAAAAAAAAAGTTAAAAGAGTATGTCTCTTACAAACCTGCCCTACAAAAGATGCTTAACAATATTTTCTTTTTCTTTTTTTTTAAAGACTTATTTTATTTTTTTATTGGAAAGGCGGATATACAGAGAGGAGAGACAGAGAGGAAGATCTTCCGTCCAATGATTCACTCCCCAAGTGAGCGCAACGGCCGATGCTATGCCGATCCGAAGCCAGGAGCCTCTTCCAGGTCTCCCAAGCGGGTGCAGGGTCCCAAAGCTTTGGCCCGTCCTCCACTGCTTTCCCGGGCCACAGGCAGGGAGCTGGAAGGGAAGCAGGGCTGCCGGGATTAGAACTGGCGCCCATATGGGATCCTGGGTGTGCAAGGTGAGGACCTTAGCCACTGCGCCACCGCGCTGGGCCCAACAATATTTTCTTGACAGAGAAAAGGAATTGCGCCCACCAAAACCAAAGGCAAATGTGAAGAATATCCCAACAAAATAACAACAGAAGACTAAATCAGTGAACAACCCATTGGTAAAATGACAGAACTAAAAACCGCCTATTTGTATTAACCCTAAATGTAAACAGCTTAAACTCGTCAATCAAACGCCATAGATAAGTATACTGGATTAAAAACCGCAACCCACTTATTTGTTGCCTACAAGCGAAATAGTTTATCAACAAAGTTCAGCAGAAACTGTATCTGATAGATTTTGAATATATTTCTGTTAGTTTTACCTCTTCTAAAACCTTTCTGCTCACTAAATTCTTCAGGGGCACACAGGTCATACAGGAGTATCATTTTCTTTATTTTTTAAGGCATAAAGGTAGCTTATTCAGGTTAGTCTAGGACTCCCAGCCACTTTCTCAATTCTTCAGGTCACATTAGTCATTCAGTAACATGTTATTTAACTTCATACTGTTGCTAATTTCTTTTTTTCCTTCCTATTATTTGTTTTGTATTGTGGCTTTTCATTTAAGGGTACGTATCATAACTGTCTAATGGAGACTATCATAAGCATCTCTACTTACAGAAAAAGATGGATTCCAAGTGAAACTGTTTACTGTATCTTCACAATAGGATGCTGGAGTCTGCCACTGTCTGTGCCCGCAATGATGCACATATGATTGTGTACAAAGAACTATACTATATTAATGATATAGGGAGAAGTCAGTGAACGGGGAGGGAGCTGGGGCAGGGAGAAGTGATAATAATAAAAATAAGCAAAAATAAAGCAAAACAAAGCAAAAAATCAACAGCACTTAAATACAGCAGAAATTATCTTACTGCTAATATATTTGCAAGATTAATATTATCAACAGTAGCTACGCATATAATAAAGTTCCTAGGTATAAATTTGACTAAATATGTCAAAAACCTACACATTAAAAAGTGCAAATTCAGACACATACACGTGGGCAAGAATCTGCATAAGTCAAGTGAACTGTTCCTTTCCGGTCCCTTTGGTTAACTTAGTATCGCAAGCTATGGAGGAAGAGTGAGACAGACAGGAAGCAGTGGTAACCCATGAATGCTGGATTGAGGAATCATCCATCGCTTGTCTGCCCGGTTGGTCCTGAGGAGAACATTGCAAGGTGAACATCTTTTATGATAGAGCTAAAGAGTAAATCTAACTATTTGTTTTTGTTCATGGAAGAGAATGCTCGCTAGAAGAACTGCTCTAAAATTGTCAGAACCCAGCATCTTCAGGAAACAGAATCTGGTTCTTTTCATCTTTTATATGTCTGCTAAATCTTTAAATCAAAATAAAGCCTAAAAATAAATTAGAATCATATCAAAGAACATATATTCAAAGTCAAAAGGTAAGATACAGACAAGCAAAGCAGAGGAATTTTAACTCCCTAATGGCCACTGCCGTAAGAAATCTAAATCCAGGTAACCATGGCAACATTGAAAGTCAAGCACAGTTCAATTTCTGGCTAAATTAATACAAATTCTCACAGTAAAGATGTATTTACCTCAAACTCCATTAGCTCACTTGATTCATTCAGTTTTCAGTAATAATAGCAACCAAATAGAAATTATGAGACAAGCCATACAAAAAGAAATTCCTAGATCTTCTTAAAAAGTATCAAAATCAATTGTTTTGAACTCAGTGAAAGGAAGTATATTGTTTACTTGATTTAATATCTTAAAAGCTAAAACTGTGACCTTCCCTAAGGATAGAACCATTATAATTATTTCACAGCAAGTAAAAAAATTCCTAGATTTTCATACTATGCATAAGAACTAAATAGTGGTATCCTAAAACATGTATTGGGATTTCATATCTATGCATGCAATTTGCTATACTATTAATTTTCTACAAATGATTGTATATGATTACATTTGATGGAAAACACGCCTTATTGTTCTTTTGACTTTGCAAGACAAAATACAGTTTAAGAAATAGAGCAAAACATTGGGTGTGGGAAAACCTTGCTGTTTGCTAAAATCCTTAATTTGGGGGAAGATATGAAGTATTTGATTCTTGTCTATGGCTTATTCACTTTAGTACCCTCATGAAAACAAAATTATCAGCATTAAAATTTTTGAATAAGTAACCCTTAAGTTCATGTACTTTACAAGTATGCATGAAAGCTAGAGTTTTATGTACTTATATGATATTTAAAATAATTCTCCAAAGCATCCCCACATGTTTATTATTAGAATGATCCATCTTTGCTGTCTGTGGGGATAAGGGCACAAGATAATGGATCACACATAACTGCAGCTGTAATTTTATGTGTATACCCAAATACTTTTTGAGAAAGGAATATATACACCTGATATTTCAAAAAATAAGCACGCAATTGATGCTGATATAAAAATTATAGAAGCACCTTAAAGGAGGAGAGACAGAGAGGAAGATCTCAATAAGTGAGCACAACGGCAGGTGCTGAGCCAATCCGAAACCAGGAGCCAGGAACTTCCTCCAGTTCTCTCATGTGGGTGCAGGGTCCCATGGCTTTGGGCCTTCTTGTACTCCTTTCTTAGGTCCAGGCAGGGAGCTGGATGGGAGTGGTGCTGCCAGGATTAGAACCGGAGGCCATATGGGATCCCAGTGCATTCAAGGCAAGGACTTTAGCAGTTAGGCTGCTGTTGCAGGTATTAATTTTTAATTTTGAATGAAACACAATTTGCTTAGTTAAAACTTTTATGCCTTTTATATTTTACCTAGCCATCATGAAAGAATAACTAAAAAATGTAGCATGATAGGCACTTATTGAGAGTAAAATGTTTATGAAGTTCTGTTAGAAGTAGCATTTTGCACATTAGTCACAGAGTTCATATCCTACTGATTTTCAGTACTGATACACCAAAATATTGGCTATGGTTACTATGCTAAGCTATTACCTGCATAGGTTTATTTCCTGATTGCTTGACTTCTGAGTCAGCTCCTTGTTTATAGCCTGGCAAATCAGTAGAGGATGGAACAAATCCTTAGGTTACTATACATTACTCTCATGTGTGGAGGCCAAGTATTTGGGTCAGTTGGCATGGGGGTGTGAGGAGCATAACTCCTCAGCAAGAATACAAGGAGTTTCTGGCTGTGTGGCAAGGCCCAGCACAATGTCTCTCTAGGGGTCCAGCAAGGTAGCCTAGTGGTTAAAGTCCTCCAGGTTCTCATATGGGAGCTGGTTTTGATTCCAGCAGCCCCGCTTCTCATCCAGCTCCCTACATGTGGCCTGCAGTAGTGGAGAATGGTTCAAAGCCTTGGGGCCCTGCATTTGTGTGAGGGACTTGAAAGAAACTCCTGGCTCCTGACATTGGATCGGTGTAGCTCCGGCCATTTCGTTCGGTTGAGGGGGTGAATCATTGGACAGAAGATCTTCCTCTCTGTCTCTCCTCTTCTCTGTTTATCTGACATTGTAATAAAAATAAATAAATCTTTAAAAAATAGTCCAATCATCTCATTGCTTCTTCATATTGTTATATGGACGGTTGATCAACTCTGATATTCATGGAATTCTCCTGAGGATGTTTTTGTTTTTCTATGAATGCGAAATAATTTCTGTAACTGGTTTAATATGGGAAACTGATTATGTTAATCATATTATGGTAAAATTGTCTTTAGCAACTTAATGAGATGTGGTTAAAAGCTTAGAGTAGCACAATGGAGCCTATATCATTCCAAAAGCTCATTGTGTACCCCCCTTTGACCTGGAACTTACTCTAAGATGCATGGTGTTCTCCATGAGAAATGGCTTGACAATATCTTGGAACAGATGAAAATCATGCAGGTACAGAGTCTGTTTACCATGCAGCCTCGAACTGTTACAACACACGAAATAACATGTTTTGATTTCTCACCATGTATAGCACAAAGTGTATGTAGCATTTTCTAAAGGGATACAAAAGTGAATCCCCAAAGAAAAATGGTTTAACACTTCTATCCTATATGGGCACTTGCATTTAGGGAAAGAAAACAGTTTGAAAAGATAACAAAAAGTTTTTTGTAGAATGCCTCCAGTCATAAAAAGGCTGACTTGCCCTGATCCTTCTCACTGCCCTTTAACAAAAGAACAAAAAACAATTGAATCAGTACTAGGTGAGGGTGATGGTAAGTAGTATATGACTGATTACAAGATTTAATCAAGAATCAGTGATGTGTGCCTTTATAAATTCCTCTCATAGAGGAACTATCTTTTTAGTTCTGTACTCTTGATATTTTAAGCAATACTAGTTTAGGTTTAGTTAAACACTGATTTTGGATATAAGTAAACCCCCTGTCAGTGTGTAACTGCATGTGCTGCCAACCGTGGAGTTCCTGGCTTCAGCTGGGTGACTACCGGTTTTAATGAGTAGTGGTTTGCTGAAAAAGTTTTATTTTTCCTGTGAAGTAAGCTAGTATTAATGGTTTCTAGAATCATTACTGTATTCTCTTAACAACGAAGTAAAAATAAAATAGTTGGATGTTGTGCAAAACTTGTGACGATTTCTGTATAGATAAAGAAAGCAACTTTTTTGAGCTGTCCACTATGAGCATCATGCCATGGTGGCCCACGTTTCTTCTTGTCTTCTCGCTGATCCACACGTCCT